CGGTGGAGGAGCGTCCACCGCCATTCGCTCTAGCGGACCGTGCCAGTAGTGCCTGTGAACAAACCCTCTCGATCGCCTAGCTGCCTGCTCTCGCAAACAATGGCGAGATGCATTCTGATGCTGGCACATGCGCTGGTTGTTTCGGAAGGTGCGTCCGCACCATTCGCATTGCTCGCGCGGCATGTCGGATCATGCAGCGTACGGTGGCATGTTTCAGAATGGGTGAGGGGATTCTAACACGTTGGAATCTAGCCAAGGCATGTCTGGATTCTAACACACAGCGTTGTTGAGAGTAGGTACGACGCGGATCATAGCTAATCTGAACGCAAAAGGATCTTCCTGACCCGCGCGGGAACCAACTCGCTGTACAGTATCTCGCTATAACCCAAACTGCTGCTGAGGTGATATAGCTATACAATTCGGTTGAAGTGGGACTACAGAAAGAAATGTGCAGATTTGGCTCGCTTTAGTGTGTAGTACACCGTTGCAGGGCAGCTGACAGAAGATGTTAAATAAGCATAAGGGAATTCTGATCCAACAAGCACATCTAAAACAGGCCCCTAAGTTGCAAACCAGAACATGTCCTAAACTCAAGCAAGGTTCGCGACGCATCAACAATGGTGACCCTGCTGTTAATCAAGATACTGGCGCCGACGCTTCACGATGTGGTAAGGCAGCAGCACTTGAGATATGTCTAGCCACTGTCTGAACATGGAGAAATCTTCTGGCCCATCCACACCTGTATATCAACAGAAACGACTGTGAGAACCCATATGGTGGACCTATATTGGGCCGTGTGCACACGACAATGTCCTACCATCTCTGGGTCCCTGATTGTTAGGACCAGCAACTTGGCGTGGTGGCTGAAGATCCTGCTGGCGGTGGTCACCTGGGCGATGATGTAGGGCCAGGTGGGTTAGTTTCCTACGTCAACGGTGAGGGCAAGATAGAAGGTACGAAGGGATAAGGGTGAACCGTTCAAGGAGAGTTACCAGTCAAGCGACGTGTGCACTGCATTGTATCCGTGCGATCCGTGCGACGCACACGCATATGTCGAATAGCGTGTGTAGTGCCGGGTCCGTCATTGTCACCTGCGGCAGGTTACGCTGGACACTCAGACCATATACAGAGAAAATGATTTCATTGTAGACATCTGCGTACCGGGGATGTTTTCACTCACTGGCGATGTGGCTGCCAGGGGTCGGAGATGTTATGTTAACAGGCGCCGTGGTATCCTCCTCATCAGGTGACGGCGCAGGTGGCGGCGCGTTCTCTGCACATCAGGGATTGCAGTGACATGAGAGACCGCCATATATATGGTCATCGCATAATGTTGAAGCACTCACGAGCCGGATGTGCCGGTGGCGCATGGTCAGAGGGTACCGGGTAAGGCCTTGAGACCGGGTTATGCGGGTCACGGGCGACGGTAGGGAGTGGTTGACCTGTCCTCTTGGGATGGATCGCCCCGGCATGATGATCTGCAGTGACACGATCGTTGTTGCCAGTTGGCGCATGATCATCGTGATCAGTGTTCAGTACGTTGTTCCATGCATTATGAGAGTCCTCTTGAGTCTCATCGCCTTCCGCGTCAGCGTGATGTTGTGCATCGGGTCTAGGATCTACTGGGGGCATATCTTCGCCGCTTTCCTCCTGTTCCTGGCCTTCCATCATCAGACTCTCGTGGCTCTTTTCGGGCGATGCCTCACGAGCCCGCGGAGCATATCGGATGCACGAGGGCGGCAAGTCCGCGGCGTCGCGCGCATCAGGATACTCGGAGTCCGGAACAATCTCTATTGGTCCGCGACGTCGCCCAATCCGTCCTGGGCTGTATAGGGCATTCGTAGCTCGCGACCTAAGACGCTCCGCCATTGGCGGACTGGATGTCAGGCGTTCCAACAGAAGGGTGGCGGAGGGTGTGCGTGAGCTAGGGTTTCGACTAATTGCTAGACACATAACAACACCTTCTGGTTCGATCTGGGCCATTATTCCCGTTTCTCTAGATACTGTTGCATAATGAAAGAAGGACATGGTTTCACCATGTAGTAAGCAGGTTGTATCTGAGTGATACATGTCAAGAAAAAGCCACATGCACCAAACTAAAGAGTTAATTATAAAACTGACATGCTAAACCCTTTACTTATTTGATATCGTGTTAGCACAACACAAGATTCACAAATACATCAACACTACAACACTGCTCCTCATTCAACTGATCACCACTTTACCTTTACGCCGTAGGTGATCCTCGTAGAAGGCACTCCAGTCAAACAAGTCCTGGAAAATCTCCTTCCGCCAGTCTGCCGATATGCCAAACAGTTTGATTTCCTCAACGCACTCAAAATTCGACTCAACTAAGGCCTGCATATATTTCATGACGTACACACCACAGTCGTGATAGTTGCGTTGAAGAGTCACCTGCAATGCGTGAAAAGGAGGATGCGTATGAGGGTGGGAGAAACGGTGACGCTATACGTCGGGGATTAGACACGATCACGTAGTCAAAAGGCCTGTGGTACCTTGGGCTTCACGTACTCCACTCTTGCTATCCAATCGTCGATCAGTGACTCGTCCGCGTCGGGGTAGAGTGAAGTGACTTGCTCCCGTAAGAATCTGCGACGATAGCGCAACACAGGAGCTTGTAGCTTACCCGTATATTTGGTGATACAAATCTGCATGCACCCATACGATCCATTTGATTTACCTGGCCACATGACGTTCAAACCCCTTGTGCATTTTCTTGGAGTCGGCATGTAGAAATCTGGTTGGCTTGGGAAGGGCACCTTCCTTAGGTGCGTTATCGTTGTCTAGAATCAGCAGGCTCCAGTGATCGCTGGAGCGAAACAGAGTAAACCCGGTGTTATCAAACGGCGACGGACGGACGGGCGTAGGGGGGGGGGGGGGGGGGTGGGGGGTACGGGGATTTTGGCGTTATGAAAGGAATGGGCAGCGACTATAAAACGCTCTAGCAACGTACTCGAAGTGAATAGGGATGAGAACCCACTTCCATTCGAGCAGGTTCTCCCCATGTACGATGTTCCCGCACGGCCATTTGCGCTTTGGCGCCGAAATGGTGGGGTAGAACATAGTCGACACGTAACACCACGTCTTGTCGTCCATGCCGTGCTGAAACTGCAACATGCTGCCACACAGGAGTCCAGGGTGTGTTTGTGATAGATTAGTATTAGCCTAGGACAACCATAACGTGGGTACTACGAAGCGGGCGTATGGAAGATACTCACGCGCCAAACCATTCGATAACATCGCCCCCTACCCACTCTCTGTCTAGTAGAGTGTGGGCATGTTCCAGTGTCATGGATAACCAGCTGCTCCCAAGGGGGAATGGCATCATGTAGTTAAAAGACGGGCCATGTTCGGGCTCTTCCTGCTGCTCTTGGTGATCGGACGCCATGTTCCCACGTGTCGCGAGTAATCAGCTTAACCCTAATGCATCCAGAGGGTAGCGGGACTTGAAAAAAGCCAACAGCGCAAATGGTTGGTAAGTTTCTACAGACTCCTCTTGTTGGTCGTGACGAGCCCTTGTTGGCCTAAACGGTGTCACCAATATCGTGTCCAATCTCGGGTCTAACAATGCGTGGCAGTCAACTTGCTAGCTAGGTTGTGAAAGTACACGTGTAAAATTGCTCCCATCCTCTTTCGGACCTACCAGTAAAGGTAGGTCCAAACACTTGAAAGCGATGCCACGGCTTTGGTCACGAGGCTAAGGTTCGTCCGTCAGAACCTGGATTTTGCGGTTTGGAGACCCGGTAACGGTACGGGTTACTCTCGTACACATATAATGGACGGTTGGCCTCCAAGACAGCATCTGTCATCGGCTTGGATGTTGCGCCGCCTTGCGACTCGTCAAAGTGTTACACAGGGAGGAGTTGTCCCAACCACATAACCGATGCCGGGTCTGTCCCATCCACGGTTGACCGTGGTTAGACAGCACGATAATCTACGGCCGACTAAACAACTGGTTACGATCCCCTCCCTTCATTATCATTTGCTCGAAGTTCTGTTCAGTTCCTTGTGTCTCAAAATCAACTCGATCGCTGTCCATCATCACTCGCCAAACACCTTGCCACGATATACTATGCATACATATGCTTAAGTATCCCCAGGGATGTCTACCCCGCACGGTCGACCGTTACGATATAAGAGGGTACCCGACCATCTTAAGGACTTTGTTATTCCGACGGCTAGAGCCAGGCCCATAGACCCTAAGTGGGCCGCGGAGGTCTTGGAGGTTAGAGCCCTCGTACTAGCATACCGGGAGAATTACCCGGCGAAGACTGGACACTTGGCGCCACATGACAGTAGACGACTGTGCGCAACAGTGGCGGCCGACCGAGAAGCTCCTGTACGATACCCTTACGGTATACCGTTTCACACCGTCCGTGCAGAGCAAACCGCGCATCGTCATAGCCGCGTCAAGCAGACCCAGGTGGGGGAGCAGGAGGTCATAGCGCAGAACGCAGCGAAAAAAGGTGAGATTTCACGTTGCTGACTTCGTTGCATTTGTGTTAGCGTCACAAGCCCGCCAACGGGTGACCTGCGCTGTATCGATTTAACGCGTTTGTTTGCCAGATATTGACGTGGGGGACGTGGAATGCGCAGAGGATAAAAATATTCGGACTGATCCAGCCAAGAGCGGGAACACAGAGGTTGGATGGGCGAGGAGTGAGGATCGAAATCCGGAGTCGTGGTACGAGTTCAACGCCGAGCTGTACACAGTGCCAGTGTGTTCGCCGTGCACAGATGCTGACACGGACAACGAATCTGCACCTGCTGGGAACTCTGAATCTGACGGCAGCGCGTCTGAGGGGGAAGATTGGGTCGCCGCGGATGTCGACTTGGTGACCGATTCAGACACCGAACGCCCTTCCCCCCCTCACGCTTACCCTCCAGGCACTCCAATCTGTAACGAGGCCGTGGTCGACACAAAGGTGAAAAAGCGTCGTGGAGCAAGGAAGTCGGCCAAGAAACACGCGGCCACTCCCATGGCGACGGTTAGGCGAATCATACCTCACACTGAACGGGGAAAGGCGACCCGACATAATTACGTGAATATGTACGCGGAGGCGGGGACGCTGGAGACAGGGAGCGACGACGAGTTCATGCCAACCGTGCTCTACGGTGGGCTGCAGTCACCAGGAAACGCGGTAACGCCAGGGGGGTCGACCCTACCGAACGATGGGGCCGATGCGGAGGAGGATGACGAGCCAATCCCTGCTCATATATTGAACAACGACTGGAGCTGGCTGGAGTTCGGCGACGACGGCAGCGAAGACGGGGCTTCGGCGGATGTGGAAGAGGTGCCGCAGAAGGTCAAGCCTAAAACGCCACCTCGAAGCAGTGACCCTGTACCTTTGGCGGCGGGGCCACCAAGGCACAAGGTGGACATCAATCACACGCCCCGGTCAAGCTTTGGGCCTGTAGTGCACGCGCATGATGCCAGCGTGCATGAGCATGCTGAGTTGCCAACCCCCCCCCCCCCCTTTCCGCAATTTGCTACCAAAAATGCACCGAGTCATCGCTCGGAAAGTCGACAGGTCAAGCAGGAGTCAATCCCTCACACTCTGCCGTCCCTGCCGAGTAGTTCCATGGCCAGCGGGGCCTTCTGCTCTCCAGGGAGGGCACCTTTCACCTCTCCCCGGTCTGCCCGTGCCAGCTCTTCTCCCTCTCAGGTCCCGGCAAACCATACGCCGGCTCGCCGCGAAGAGGCAGCTCCTGCTCGGGGGTCGGGCGTGGCCGGATCTGCAAGCGGTGAAACCCTGAGGGCGCGCGGGTGGATAGCGGGTCGAACAACGATGCAAGCCGTGTTGCGACACTGGAGGCGGAGCTGCGGGCATTGATGGGGAAAGTAGCCCAGCTCAGCGGGCAAGTCGTTAAGAGGCAAGAGGAGCCGGAGGGTCAAACGGGGCAAAATGTGGAAAAACCCGCTGTGGCCATTGTCGAGAGTCAGCCGCCCGTTCCGGTCGTCACCAAGCCAGCCGCAACACCCTCCCGGAAACCCCAGGTGGCCGCTACCGTCAGGGCAGACCATGAAAGCCCTGACAACCCCGCGTCCAAGGGCACTTCAGGTGTGCGGAAGGATAGGCAGCGGCTTTCCGACATGAAGGATGCACCCCACTTACCGCCGAATCCGCTGATGTATGATCCGCTCCTTGAATCCCCAATCACGCAACCGGAAAGCCGTGAGGACGATGGTGACCGTCCCAGCACACTGGATGCGCGGCCCCTGAAGCGTATGCTATTCTCAAACCCCCTGGAGTCTCTTCTCCGTACCGAGCTCCCACCCAGGCAGGATGACTTGGGGAGCGGTGGGAGCCATGGAATGGGGAGGACCGATGAACCTATCCTCGACAGGCAGGGCAATACCCATGGCAGAAACATGTCCTCTCAGCATTACGAGGAGGGGCCTTGGCGTTTTGGCGGGAAGCGGGGCAGGGGCGACGAAAGCGTTATCATTGTGGTTGACTACGACCCGGAAGAGCGGGTCCCCGGTCTACCGCGCTCAATGCCTAAACCCAAGCCATTCAGGGTGAGTCACCGTCTTCTGTGCATAAACCCCAATAGTGCACATATATGTGAGTTAGGAGAGTAAGGAGTGTATGGCCACTGAACGCTTGCCCGCAAATGAGCCCTTGCTGTATAGTTCCGCCAGTGGTGGTGAGGGAAGCCATTTCTCAATATAAATGCCTTCGATTGTCCCAAACTGTCCCTTGCTTCCTCGTTATGCCTCTTGCTTGCTCGTCCTGACCGCTGATTGCTCGTTCTGCCCCAACCGATGACGGGTCTGCCCCATGCTTGCTCGAGCTGGCCCTTGCGTGATCCGCCTAAACCCGTTGTTTGTCCCAATCTGCCCCTTGAATGCTTGTTCTGCCTCTTTGTTGCTAGTTCTGCATCAAGGTTGCTCGTACTGCCCCTCGCTTGCCCCCCCTGCCCCTCGCCTGCTCATTCTGGCCCTTACTTACTCGTTATGCCTCTTGCTTGCTCATCCTGACCGTCGGTTGCTCGGTCTGCCGCTTGCTTGCTAGCTCTGCCCCTTGCTTGCTAGTTTTGCCACTTGTCAACCCGTACTTCCCCTCGCTTGCCCCCCCTGCCCCTCGCTTGCTCTTTCTGCCCCTTGCTTACTCGTTATGCCTCTTGCTTGCTCATCCTGACCGTTGATTGCTAGTTCTGCCGCTTGCTTGCTAGCTCTGCCCCTTGCTTGCTAGTTTTGCCACTTGTCAACCCGTTCTGCCCCTCGCTTGCCCCCCCTGCCCCTCGCTTGCTCATTCTGCCCCTTGCTTACTCGTTATGCCTCTTGCTTGCTCATCCTGACCGTTGGTTGCTCGTTCTGCCGCTTGCTTGCTAGCTTTGCCCCTTGCTTGCTAGTTTTGCCACTTGTCAACCTGTACTTCCCCTCGCTTGCCCCCCCTGCCCCTCGCTTGCTCATTCTGCCCCTTGCTTACTCGTTATGCCTCTTGCTTGCTCATCCTGACCGTCGGTTGCTCGTTCTGCCGCTTGCTTGCTAGCTCTGCCCCTTGCTTGCTAGTTTTGCCACTTGTCAACCCGTACTGCCCCTCGCTTGCTCCCCCTGCCCCTCGCTTGCTCTTTCTGCCCCTTGCTTACTCGTTATGCCTCTTGCTTGCTCATCCTGACCGTTGATTGCTCGTTCTGCCGCTTGCTTGCTCGCTCTGCCCCTTGCTTGCTAGTTTTGCCACTTGTCAACCCGTACTGCCCCTCGCTTGCCCCCCCTGCCCCTCGCTTGCTCATTCTGCCCCTTGCTTACTCGTTATGCCTCTTGCTTGCTCATCCTGACCGTTGGTTGCTCGTTCAGCCGCTTGCTTGCTAGCCCTGCCCCTTGCTTGCTAGTTCTGCCACTTGTCAACCTGTACTTCCCCTCGCTTGCCCCCCCTGCCCCTCGCTTGCTCATTCTGCCCCTTGCTTACTCGTTATGCCTCTTGCTTGCTCATCCTGACCGTTGGTTGCTCGTTCTGCCGCTTGCTTGCTAGCTCTGCCCCTTGCTTGCTAGTTTTGCCACTTGTCAACCTGTACTTCCCCTCGCTTGCCCCCCCTGCCCCTCGCTTGCTCATTCTGCCCCTTGCTTACTCGTTATGCCTCTTGCTTGCTCATCCTGACCGTCGGTTGCTCGTTCTGCCGCTTGCTTGCTAGCTCTGCCCCTTGCTTGCTAGTTTTGCCACTTGTCAGCCCGTACTGCCCCTCGCTTGCTCCCCCTGCCCCTCGCTTGCTCTTTCTGCCCCTTGCTTACTCGTTATGCCTCTTGCTTGCTCATCCTGACCGTTGATTGCTCGTTCTGCCGCTTGCTTGCTAGCTCTGCCCCTTGCTTGCTAGTTTTGCCACTTGTCAACCCGTACTTCACCTCGCTTGCTCCCCCTGCCCCTCGGTTGCTCATTCTGCCCCTTGCTTACTCGTTATGCCTCTTGCTTGCTCATCCTGACCGTCGGTTGCTCGTTCTGCCGCTTGCTTGCTAGCTCTGCCCCTTGCTTGCTAGTTCTGCCACTTGTCAGCCCGTTCTGCCCCTCGCTTGCTCGTTCTGCCCCATGCTTGCCCGAGCAGGCCCTTGCGTGATCCGCCTAAACCCGTTGTTTGTCCCAATCTGCCCCAACCCTGCTTGTTCTGCCTCTTTGTTGCTAGTTCTGCATCAAGGTTGCTCGTTCTGCCCCTTGCTTGCTAGTTATGCCCCTCGCTTGCTCGCTCTGCCCCTCGCTTGCTCGCTCTGCCCCTCGCTTGCTCATTATGCCCTTTGCTTACTTGTTATGCCTCTTGCTTGCTCGTCCTGACAGTTGATTGCGCGTTATGCCCATTGCCTGCTCGCTCTGCCCCTTGCTTGTGCGTTTTGCCACTTGTCAACCCGTTCTGCCCCTTGCTTGCTCGTTCAGCCCCTTTGCTTGCTCAAGCAGGCCCATGCGTCCTCCGCATAACCCTTGGATTGTCTCATTATGCCTCTTGATTGCTTGTTCTGCCTCTATGTTGCTAGTTCTGCCTCGTGGTTGCTCGTACTGCCCCTTGATTGCTAGTTCTGCCCCATGCTTGCTCGAGCAGGCCGTTGCTTGCTCAAGCAGGCGATTGGTTGATCCGCCTAAACCCTGTGGTTGTCACAATCTGCCCCTTGATTGTTCGTTCAGCCCCTTGCTCGCCTGTTATGCCTCTTGCTTGCTCGTTCTGTCCCATCCTTGCTCGAGCAGGCCCTTGCTAAGGCACTTTTTGGCTCGTGCTTGCGCGTTCTGCCCTTGTTTGCTAGTTCTGGCCCCTAAACCCCTTGGTTGCTCGATCTGCCACCTGCTCGTCTCGTCCCATGTGAGTTGTGGGGTTGCCACCTTCCCTCCCTCCCTCCCTCCCTCCCGTGTTCCCTCCATCCTCTCCCTCCCTACCGATCCCACAGGCATACGCCAAGCATGCAATGGAGTTACAGCTTCGTCACACCACGGCATGGGCGGTCACCTACTTCCCAAAGAACAGCGTTAGGAACGAGGCCCTTCTACTTGCTCTGCGGAGGCACTATGACGTGGTGGCAATCGACATAAAGGTGGCGATGGATGACACTGCATACAGTGGGGTGGTGGGGAACGTGTGGACGAAGTTCAGGAATGAATCGTCGACGGACGCGCGTCATTACATCTACCGAGTGCTGCGGATCGATGCACGGTCGTCTGGGAAGTACAAGATGGCTCTAACTCCCAAAGCGAAGAAGTACATTTGGGGGAAGATTGGGCAGAGTAAGACGCATGATGTATCATGGGATGCGGGAATGGGAAGGGCTGGGGGCACCCCAATTGGAGGGAGGGGGGGGGAGTGTTTCAGGTTTTGAAGACTTGTGAGGGTCTCAGCATTATAGGTAGGTGTGCAGTGGGGTGATTTGCTTACAGTAAAACCTAGTACAGTGGAGCTAAGTAATGCTGACGTGACGGCCGGTGAGGGGGGCTCTATATTCAAACCTAAACGCCACATACCCGCCTTCTGTTTTTTTTTTGCAGAGCCACACATGGGATTTAAAATTTCGGTATGGACTCACATAAAGGGCGACCGTCGGCCCTTCATCAACGAGATTTTCTACAAGGCCTGCGTGGCGGCTTACCCTGAGTGGGAGCAAGGGAAGTGCATGGTGCTCGTCCCATACCACATCGCGTGGGTGATGATGTCCGTAAGTGTCGTCAGTTGCAAATATCCTTTATGTTGAAGGGCTTACAGTAAGCATTGTTTGTGTTGTGGTTGCTCTGTTTTTCCAGGTGGACTTTGGCCTCCAGAACATGCGGGACAACACAGTGCACCTGAGTGGCAGCCCATTGGAGATGGAGAGGTGCATGGAAACGGCCACTGAGCTGGTGTGGGAGGTGGTGCAGATGTGGTTGCGGCTGGCTAGGGGGCAGTGGTACGACCCCCGGGTTAGGGCGTACCGTTGGGGGGATAAGGGGCTGTACATTAACGAAAGTGGGCTTGAAGAGTTTAGGCCGGAGTGCTTTGCTGGAACCCGTGCTGCCGATAGCGGGGATGCAAGCCCGTGGATTATTCGCCGCTAGTTTAGGGTGAAACGGACCTATTTAATATCGTTTGTCATAGCAACGTTTAATAACGCTTAGCGTCCTGATTGTGATAGTTTTTTTATTGTATCGATATGTGTTACCCATCAAACAGTAGGTGTAGTTAATGTACCGTATGTTAATTATAAACCCGTTTTTTGGTCGCGGCGCATGCCCAGTACTCGTGGCCCCGAGCCGCTCTTTTTCGAACCCCACACGTGTATATAAGCTCGGTGATTGGTTCCACATGTCTTTTGCATCCCTCCCCAAAGGGTCCCGAAAATGTCCAAAATGGTCCTCTGGAACACTTTCGGGATGGCGGGGAGGAGTCTTGCGGAACAAATACAGGAGCCTCCCAACAGTACCGGAGTTGTTCCCGAAAGAGACTTTCGGGATGGGTGCAAAAACTATCCCGAAACTCTCTTTCGGGACAGTTTTGGGACATTTGTGGGAGCCAGGATTTTGGAGATGGAGGCGGCGTCGGGACCGCTTAGGGGCGGCGACGGGGCCGCTTAGGAGCGGTAACGGGGCCGCTTAGGGGCGGCGACGGGGCCGCGTAGGGTGGGCGGCAACGGGGCCGCTTAGGGTCGGCGACGGGGCCTCTTAGAGGCGGCGACGGGGCCGCTGAGGGTGAGAGGCCGCGACGGGGCCGGTAGGGGCGGCGACGGGGCCGCTAGGGGCGGCGACGGGGCCGCGTATGGGCGGTGACGGGGTCGCGTAGGGTGAGAGGCGGCGACGGGGCCGCTAGGGGCGGCGACGGGGCCGCGAGAGGGCGGCGACGGGGCCGCGGAGGGGCGGCGACGGGGCCGCGTAGGGGCGGCGACGGGTCCGCGTAGGGTGAGAGGCAGCGACGGGGCCGCTAGGGGCGGCGACGGGGCCGCTAATGGCGGCGACGGGGCCGCGTAGGGGCGGTAACGGGGCCGCGTGAGGGGCGGCGACGAGGCCGCTAGGGGCCACTAGGGGCCTGGAAAGGGCGGCAAAAGGCGCGCCTCGGGCAGGTGCGACTGGCGCTCTGGTCAGAAAGGAAATTTTCAATGGTGGGCCCAAGGAAGCGTTCCCACTAGGGAACCTGCTCTATACCATGTGAAGAATGAGGAATGAATGAGCTAGCACAAGGTTGGGTACAAGTAGGAAACCCTAGGAAACTGTACCCCATAGTGTCTACCCCACTATAGCCTACACAAGCTATATATTATGAGTTTGACAGTACTCACGATTTGATCCGCCGAACTTTACTTCCAGAAGAAGGCGACGCGCGCACTGTAGTAGACGGAGGTCAAAACCCTCAATACAAAACATGAATACACAATTTGGTTCTTCTAGCAAATATCGTTTATTTCCGGTTCGGCTTGTTAGCCAAGTCGGTTGGGCAGCTCTGGGCTGAAATCCTACGGTTGAGATTTACCGGCCCTACTTTGAACACTCCTCTGGCAATGTTCGGCCCCTGGTTGATCTTTTCCCGCTATCTTCCCCGATGGAGTCCCCCCGTCAGGCATCGTCAGGTTTGCCTCAGCGAACTCTAGCGTTCCACCGTTTTAACACCTGTAACAACTGCAGTGAATTCGCCCGCGATCTGCCGAAAGGCGAGGTCGGACAAAACCACCAAATCGGCCACAAGTGACCACACCTGCCAGTACCCCCGTTTCCGAACCGACCGCCCTTCAACCCCGAAAATGCCCAAGTACGGGGCCCTCTCCAACCCCAAAATTAGGCTAAGGGCGTGTCTCTTTTTTGCTTTTATGGATTTTGACGGACTGTCCGGTTGTATGTAAACGGACAGTTGCAATAGCGAGTTTCGGACAGTCCGATTCAAAATTTCAAAACATTGGACAGTACGAAGGCAAAAGCATCACTTTCCCGAGTGCATCAGTATTCCAAAGTACTGTAGCATCGCCAGGCATCGTACACTCACGTAACCTCAGTCACACCCCATCGCCAACTTCGCATAGCCAGGCTGCGACTCGATGCCCCCTGAAAACCAATCGTCAACCTTCTACATAGGCTATACCACACCAATTCAGTAAACAACGTCGAGGCACACACACGTAGCACTATCAAAACAGAACCAAAGCAACGCCATGTCTAGGAGGCTGCTCCTATCAGTGCTCCACCTGCTTTACAGAGGCTACCACGAGTTCATCGTCCGTCCAGCCTTTGAACAGCTCACGGATGTTATTCTACTGCTTGAGGACGATGACCGCAACACGATGCGTAATGACCGTAGGAACCAGCGGGCACGATGGGATGTCCTTCTCGACTCCTTGCCTTACCGCATATTCATTGAAACGTTTAGAGTTAATCGGGCGGTGTTTGACTACCTAGTGGAGGCGTGGATAACGCGGAACGGGGACCGTCGTCGTGTAGTGCCCATTGAGACAGTGGTGGCTATGACTCTAGTGTATCTTGGCACGGGTGGCACATTCCGTCAGGTGGGATTGCAATTTGGTGTTGTGCCTCAACATGCCTTCCGCCTCATCTACAGGTTCATAGCGTTCATTGTCAACGTGTTGGAGCCTCTGTGGGTTACACACCCCACCCTTGACCAATGTGCAGAAATGGCGGCAGAGTTCACTTACGAGGGGGGGATACCGGGTGTCATAGGGGCATTGGATGGGACTTTTATAGAATGCAGGGGGTTCGGACGCGACAAAGAAGACTTCAAAAACAGAAAGGGGTTCTACTCTATCCACCTACAGATAGCTTGTGATAGCAACGACATTATCTGGGACTACAACGTCGGCTATCCGGGGAGTGTGAATGACGCGCGGGTGTTCAACAACTCACCCCTCCGAGAGTGCATGGAAGCAGGGGATTTAGGCAACTACATGCTGGTGAGCGACGCCGCGTATGCCTTGAAAAGCTACACATGCGTCCCATGGCGTGCTACACCGGGACGAGCTCTGCCAAGGGCTAAGGACAAATGGAACACACAACAGTCAAGGCAACGGATGGTGGTTGAACAAGTGAACGGGAGATTGAAGGGGAAATGGCGGATCCTTGATGCTCGTATGGAGTGCCATAGTGACCGCGTCCCGCAGGTCGTGAGCGCGTGCGTCGCGATGCACAACATCGAGCTGACGATCGGTAGCCGCGATCGACTTGGCCCACCAAGCGAGCGGAATCGTTGGTGGCTCGAGGGTCCGGCGTCACGGCTTCGACTCACCGGCGCCGAGGTCCGCGGGTTCACGCCTCGTCTTCGGATGAAGAGGTGGACTGCGGCGATCTACGCCTCCTACTGCGTCGCTCATCCGCGAAGCCGCGAAACACCTCCCGTGTAAGCGCCACGAACTTGCTCCAGTTCTCCTCTTGACGCCTGTCGTTATGGTCGCGGAGCTCTCGAACAAGATCCGCCGTGCTCTGGGCTCTGGATCGCCCAGTAGATTTCCGACCTTGGCCCTTTGATCCTGTGTTACCCCCCTTGCCAACCTTGCCTTCTGGCTGCTGGCGGGGATACTGATACCATGCATGCCGGCTGCATCCCTCTTGCCCATCAGACGACGCGAGCGCTCCCCCGACTTGGCGACGACCACGGATCGAGACACCCGTCGTCACACCTGATTCCGTCGCGGTGGCAGTAGGAGACGCCGACGGGATGGTGTCTGGCGATAGAGGGGACGTATTCCCGCGGCGGGTTGCATTGTCTCGAGCAGGGGAAGGTGCAGGTGACGCGGGCGGGGGATTGGGAGTTGGAGATGTGGGCGCCACCACTCCAGTCGGCGTGGTCTCAATAGCCACCGGGGGGTTGGAGGGTATGGGATGTGGGAGTGGCGGGAAAGGCGGTGGTAGCGCGATGCTGGGAGCCGGACTGTCCGTGTTCGAGGCGGCATTCGGTGTATGCGACGGGGACGTCGCATTCGTTGTAGATGGCCGACGACGGGCGTGTGCGGGAGGTGGCGTTACCGTCGCAGACCTGGAACTTGTGGCTCGATTGACGCCCGTGCCTGCAAGTACGGGGGGGATGGTACTTGGGCGCTCACCCCATAAAGCGTCGCCGAGGTGGAACCAAGGAGGCAGACCAGTGGCGCGTCCCGCCCCCGAGCGCTTGATGCGATCGTTGATGCGGCGCCACTGCTCCTTCATGCGATTGTACTTGGCTTTAAGAGCGGAAATGTCGTGGCGCCACGCCGGATTTTGCAGCAGGAGCTCCTCCTGGATGAGCGGATACCAGCTTCGGCCTTGCTGACCCGTACGCGCGCGGATTTGGGCCTGGCGGGAGATGAAAGCGGCGAGGACCTCGCACTCCTCCTCTGGGGTCCAGCGCGGCTGCGTCCTCCCCGCAGATCTGCGTGACGGAGCGGTGGTCTCGCGGGTCGGGGACATCTCCTGCTCAGCGGGCTCCTCCTCAACCTCCCCGAGCGTCGCGGCGTTGTCTATATCTGCGCCTAGTCCGTAGTCGTCGTCGGCGTCGTATGAGGCTGTGGGAGACGGGATGTGGAAGACCCTCCAGTCAACTTGTGCGTTGGTGGTTGTGGTCGGGGTTTGAGCATTGGCGGGAGTGGGATTTTGAATATGAGACTCTTGTGTCTCTGGTGCAGCAGCATCCGGATCAGGTTGGGTAGAGGTAGTAGGGACGGAGGTGTTGGGTGTGGTGTTTGCCGGTCCAGAGTTCTCATTTCCGCTGGACTGCTCCATTGCGTGCTGATTGTGGTGGTTCGGTTCGAAAAGGAATCGTCTTTGTAGTGTAGACGGGCTAGTGGGGGTGTCTACGGTTCAATGTTCTATTTGGCGCCGCGCGCCCAATATTTTGTTTAGACATGTGGCTCGGTGTTTTTTTTTCGTTTTTTCGCGCGCCAATCAGATGTCAGAGATTGAATTCCGTCCGTTTGCACGTCGAACTGACAAAGGTCCACATTGTGAACCGTTGCTTGGAGGGAAAAGTGATGTGACCATGGCGAAAAAGTTGCGAAACAATGCGAAATAGGTAACCTTTTCGCGAGCCGGACGGTCCACGGTTCGAACCGTCAGCGTAAAAAAAGAGACACGCCCTAAGTAAACGCTGCTCGGCTGTCGGCGGACTCACATTTTTCTGATGTAAATTCACAGGAGTCTTACACTGTGCCAGAGCAGCCGCAATGAAGTTCCGAATAGAGGACCTCGACGTGTACTTCCCGTACGAGTACATCTACCCGGAGCAGTACGAGTACATGGTGGAGTTGAAACGTACGCTGGACGCCAAGGGCCACTGCGTGCTGGAGATGCCGACGGGCACGGGCAAGACCATCACGCTGCTGTCGCTCATCACGTCGTACCAGATGGCGCGCAAGGGCACGGGCAAGCTCGTGTACTGCACGCGCACCGTGCACGAGATGGAGAAGGCGCTCGCCGAGCTGCGCCTGCTGCACGCCTACCAGCAGACCGCGCTCGCGGGGGAAGCCGCCGCCGGCGCCGGCGCGGGGGGAAACGGCGCAGGGGGGAAAGGCGCGAGCGGAGTCCCGCGGATATTAGCCCTGGGGCTGAGCTCGCGCAAGAACCTGTGCATCCACCCGGTGGTGGCGGGCGAGGGGTCGCGCGAGAGCGTGGACGCGGGGTGCCGCAAGCGCACGGCGTCGTGGGTGCGCGCGGCCGCGCTGGAGAACCCCGACATCGAGGTCTGCACCTACTTTGACCAATTTGACCGCAAAGGACAAGAAGCCGCTCTGCCGCCCGGAGTGTACACGCTCCAGGACCTGCGGGCGTTTGGGCGGGAGAAGGGGTGGTGCCCGTATTTTCTGGCACGGCACATGATCAATTTCGCTAACGTGGTGGTGTACAACTACCAGTACCTGCTGGACCCCAAGGTGTCGGGGATAATCTCCCGGGAGCTGGAGCGGGAGAGCATTGTGGTGTTTGACGAGGCCCACAACATCGACAACGTGTGCATCGAGGCTTTAAGCGTCAACGTGCGCCAGCAGACCATCGATGGCGCTCACAGGAACCTCGCCCGGCTCAACACAACCATTGAGCGGTGAGTGGGGAGGGCAGGGAAGGCGGAGGGGGGAAGAGGGCCCTCGAAAGCTTGTTCCACTCAGTACGATGATTGATCGGTGCCGGTAGGGCGCTGCAGGATAGCGGGAGCAGAGGGCGCCATGGAACAAAGGGGAAGGGGGATGAGAGAGTAAGCAGGAAGAGAGGGGGAGCAGAGGGAGAGCAGGGGGAGGGGAAAGCAGGTAGAGAGAGAAGGGGGAGAGGGGGACTAGAGGGAAGTGGGAGAGGAGAGGGAGGGAGAGAAGAGGGAAAGGGAGAGCAGAGGGGAATGAGAGCAGAGGGAGAGGGGGGCAGAGGGCGAGGGGGATCAGAGGGATTGGGGGAACAAAGTCGAGTTGAGTCAATTCCCGATGTAGCTCAATTTCGATCCGACTTGGTGCATCAAGTCGGGCACGACTCTTGATGAGTTGTTTCACTCACCAATCCACTATGACTCAGCCTGGCACTCTGCATGAGTCCTTTGCGTGACCCCAGTGTGCGCGGTTGTTAGTATTTTTACTAGGCAATCGCAGGTGCAGTGCACATTGTTTGGTGTGCGCGTGACAGGTTCAAGGCAACGGACGCGGAGAGGCTGAAGGAGGAGTACCGACGGCTGGTGGATGGACTGGCGCAGAGAGGCAACTTGCCAGGTGATTGCCTTACAAGGTTTACATGCCAGTTACTTGCAGCAGAGGTGACCTGCCATGATTCCAACACAAGGTTAAAAAGCCAGTTACTCACTACGAAGGAAACCTGTCAGGTGACTCCAACAGTCATACAGCACAGAATAACGAAACCCTAACCCAGATTCAAGGTGGATAAGTGGCAGCTTCCACCAGAAGCATTCGCTCAACACCGCAAGGTGGTGCTCTGCCTCTCATTCCAACAACACACAAGCACTGTGTGCGCCACCAACACCACCTCACGTCTCTTCTCCCCCTGCCCCTTTTATCGTCTCCTCGGTCGCCAACACCCACTCACGCTCACACACCACTCCATTTCCTCCTCTTCTCCTCCCGTCTCGCCCCTCTCGTCTCCCCTTCAAACTCTCTTCTCTTCACTCTCCCCTCTCCCCTGATTATTCTTCCCTTGTCCCTTGTCCCTTGTCCCTTGTCCCTTGTCCCTTGCCCCTTGTCCCTTGCCCCTTGTCCCTTGTCCCTTGTCCCTTGTCCCCCTCCCACACACTCCATCTCATCACCATCTTCCTCACATCCCCCAACTCTTGCTATGCCAACCATCCATCCCACTCTCCCCTCCTCTCACCCCCCCACCTTTCTTCCCATCCCCCCCATCCCGCCAATCAGCATGCAGACACGTGGCTGGACAACCCACTGCTACCAGCAACCATCCTACAGGAGGCGGTGCCGTGCGGAGCACTTCCTGGCCTTCTTGCGCAGCTTCCTCACCTACCTGCACCTACCCCTTCTCACCTACCTGCACCTACCCCTTCTCACCTACCTGCACCTACCCCTTTTCACCTACCTGCACCTACCCCTTCTCACCTACCTGCACCTAACCCTTCTCACCTACCTGCACCTACCCCTTCTCACCTACCTGCACCTACCCCTTCTCACCTACCTGCACCTACCCCTTCTCACCTACCTGCACCTACCCCTTTTCACCTACCTGCACCTACCCCTTCTCACCTACCTGCACCTACCCCTTCTCACCTACCTGCACCTACCCCTTCTCACCTACCTGCACCTACCCCTTCTTACCTACCTGCACCTACCCCTTCTCACCTACCTGCACCTACCCCTTCTCACCTACCTGCACCTACCCCTTCTCACCTACCTGCACCTACCCCTTCTCACCTACCTGCACCTACCCCTTCTCACCTACCCATCTACCGCACAGTCCATCTCACCTCCTCCTCCCTCACTCTCCCCACCTCCTGCCAACCATCTCCCTCTCCCTTCCTCTCATCCACCCCCTCCCCCCCTTTCCCCTCTCCCTATCCCCCCCTTCCCGCCAATCAGCATCGGACATGTGGCTGGCGAACCCACTGCTGCCAGCGGACATCCTACAGGAGGCGGTGCCGGGCAACATCCGCCGCGCGGAGCACTTCCTGGCCTTCCTGCGCCGCTTCCTCAGCTACCTGCAGGCGCGCCTCAACACCACGCGCGTCGAGTCCGAGGGGCCCCTCGCCTTCCTGCATGCCCTGCAGGCGAGTGAGTCAACGCCACTCCACACACGTGCCCTCATTCTGTGCGTCACCTGCACTTGTTCTCTTTACATCCCACGACAGGAATGCCATGGTTGAACGTTCCATTCACCTTCCTGCATGCCTGCCCTGCCCGCATGCATGCGTGCCACAGGCAGCGACGGGCATAGAGAGCAAGAGTCTGCAGCTGTGCTACGACCGGCTGCAGTCGCTGCTGCTGACGCTGCAGGTGGCGGAGGTGGACGAGATGGGCCACGTGCAGTGCGTGTGCGACCTCGCCACGCTTGTCGGCACGTACACGCGCGGCTTCGCCATCATCATCGAGCCCTTTGATGAACGCCAGCCGCAACTAGCTGACCCCGTGCTGCAGGTGGGTGCTGCACGTGGGTGCTGCACGTGGGTGCTGCTGCAGATGGGGCGGTGCCACTGTTTTCTCCCTATCATGCTCGATTCCTCACTCTTGTTCTTTCAATCCCTCCTCCTTCTTTTCCTTACTCTCTTCTTGCCTTTTCTCCAGCTCTTTTCTCCCCTTTCCTTCACTCACGCTTTCCACTACCCTTCGCCCCCACCCCTCTCCGCCCCCACCCCTCTCCGCGCCCACCCCTCTCCGCGCCCACCCCTCTCCGCGCCCACCCCTCTCCGCGCCCACCCCTCTCCGCGCCCACCCCTCTCCGCGCCCACCCCTCTCCGCCCCCACCCCACTCATCCCCTTGCCCGGCAGCTGAGCTGTCTGGACGCCTCACTGGCCATCCGGCCCACCTTTGAGCGGTTTCAGAGTGTGATAATAACGAGCGGCACGCTGAGCCCCATCGACCTGTACCCGCGCCTGCTCAACTTCCACCCCGTCTGCATCCGCTCCCTCTCCATGTCGCTCTCGCGCGACTGCCTCTGCCCCCTCGTTGTTACTCGCGGCAGGTGAGGTGAGGCCGGGTTGTTGCTGTACGTGCGAGGAAAGGAGGGGTGATCATCCATGAGAGGAAAGGAGGGGTGATCATCCATGAGAGGAAAGGAGGGGTGATCATCCATGAGAGGAAAGGAGGGGTGATCATCCATGAGAGGAAAGGAGGGGTGATCATCCATGAGAGGAAAGGAGGGGTGATCATCCATGAGAGGAAAGGAGGGGTGATCATCCATGAGAGGAAAGGAGGGGTGATCATCCATGAGAGGAAAGGAGGGGTGATCATCCATGAGAGGAAAGGAGGGGTGATCATCCATGAGAGGAAAGGAGGGGTGATCATCCATGAGAGGAAAGGAGGGGTGATCATCCATGAGAGGAAAGGAGGGGTGATCATCCATGAGAGGAAAGGAGGGGTGATCATCCATGAGAGGAAAGGAGGGGTGATCATCCATGAGAGGAAAGGAGGGGTGATCATCCATGAGAGGAAAGGAGGGGTGATCATCCATGAGAGGAAAGGAGGGGTGATCATCCATGAGAGCGGAGAATGGTGCAAAAGGTTGTTCTTGGGCACAGTCTTGTCACCACACTAGTGAGACAGGAGAGATTCGTCGTGACCTCTAATCCTGGGTTATTGACCCTGAACTCTTTCAACGCTGTTTACTGTATGAACCCTGTGATGTGAACCCTGTGATGTGAACCCTGTGATGTGAACCCTGTGATGTGAACCCTCCTGACCCTGTTGACCCTGCCCCTCCAGCGACCAGCTGCCTCTGAGCACGCGCTTTGACATGCGCAGCGACCCCGGTGTCGTGCGCAATTATGGCCGCTTGCTCGTCGACATGGCTGCCTGCGTGCCGGACGGCATCGTTTGTTTCTTTGTGAGCTACGCGTACATGGACGGCATTGTGAACAGCTGGAACGACATGGGCATCCTCAAGGTGGGCCCAGGGCTTAGGAGTTTCGGGGTTGATTTTCCTGTTCTTGGTACAAACCTCAAGATGGCTGCAATGGTAGTGGTGCCCCATGCCAAGCGCCACCATGCCAAGCGCCACCATGCCAAGCGCCACCATGCCAAGTGCCACCATGCCAAGCGCCACCATGCCAAGCGCCACCATGCCAAGCGCCACCATGCCAAGCGCCACCATGCCAAGCGGCACCATGCCAAGCGCCACCATTCCATGCGCCACCATGCCATGCTCCACCATGCCAAGCGCCACCATGCCAAGCGCCACCATGCCAAGCGCCACCATTCCATGCGCCACCATGCCATGCGCCACCATGCCATGCGCCACCATGCCAAGCGCCACCATGCCAAGCGCCACCATGCCAAGCGCCACCATGCCAAGCGCCACCATGCCATGCGCCACCATGCCAATCGCCACCATGCCATGCGCCACCATGAATGCCAGGCGCCACCATGAATGCCATGCGCCACCATGAATGCCATGCGCCACCATGAATGCCATGCGCCACCATGAATGCCATGCGCCACCATGAATGCCATGCGCCACCATGAATGCCATGCCCATGCGCCTTGAGGAGGTGTGGTGGAAACCACCGTTGAGATGCCATGCACTGGGCTGTGCTGCACCACGTCCAACCCATGCCGATCACACCCAACACCCCTCTCCATCATAATGTGATTGATTACCAGTTGGTGTTGGTCGGGTCACGGGACATGGGCAAACCCCCCATCGCAATGGCATGCATGTTACTTGTTCTCATGCGGCATGGCGCCATGCCCCCCCATGGCATGCGGCATGGCGCCATGCCCCCCCATGGCATGCGGCATGGCGCCATGCCCCCCCATGGCATGCGGCATGGCGCCATGCCCCTCCATGGCATGCGGCATGGCGCCATGCCCCCAGGCCCCATGGGATGGAGCACAAGCTGGTGATCACTGACACGCGGGACATGCTGGAAACCACGATGCCACTTGCCCCAACCCATATCCCATCCTGTGTCCCATGCATGCCCCAGGCCGTGCCTTGTGCCATGCCCATACTGTGCCCCAGGCCATGCCCTGTGCCCCCCGTGCTTCCCGTGCCGCCCCTCGCCCACTCTACCAGGAGGTGATGGAGCACAAGCTGGTGTTCATCGAGACTCAGGACGTGGTGGAGACCACCCATGCTGCATGCCATGCCCAATCTCACATCCCCATGGCCCGCGTGCCCCCTGTGCCCCCCACGGCCCGGCGGCAGGAGGTGATGGAGCACAAGCTGGTGTTCATAGAGACGCAGGACGTGGTGGAGACCACGCTCGCCCTCGACAACTACCGCCGCGCCTGTGACTGCGGCCGCGGGGGCGTCTTCTTCTCCATCGCCAGGTGGGCTCCAGCTCGTGACGGTGAGGCGTGACAAGATTGAGGTGGGAGAAAGGCAAAGATCCTACGAGCAGGTGAGGCGGGCTCAAGAGAACTGCTTACAGAGCTCATATGCCAGTTCTTTCAGCATGGCAGAAAGAGTCATCCATAGATAGATAGCGGTGCGAGATGTCTCGTCAGCCTTACTTGATTAGGACCTCTGTGTACTTGCGGGCTTCACGCACGCACATGTGTCAGTATTCTGCCTGACGACATGTGCTGCCCTGTACGGTGTCTTAAGCTTCCCTTTAGGGTGACAGTTGCCACTGAAACGTGGCATATGCTAACTTATAAGGTGGCGTCGTTGATAAGACATTCTGTATGGTGCAGAACTCGTTGTTGATGGTATTTAGCATCTGTGGTATCACGATATCAGTTGCCACCTTCTTTATACAATACTAGGTATCAAGCAATTACCGCCCCAAACACAGAAGTACTACTGTGAGTGCTTCAGAACGCCTTTCTACCATGAGTGCTTCAGAACGCCTTTCTACCATGAATGTCTAATCTCTATCGCCTGCCTCCCACACCCTCCCCGCCGTGGTCTGCGTTCGCTCAAGCCAGGGGCAAGGTGGCGGAGGGGATTGACTTTGACCGCCATTATGGCCGACTCGTCATCATGTTTGGCGTGCCCTTCCAGTACACCCTCAGCAGGTGACGTGTCTAACTCTCCAACTTGTCAATGTGCCAGGTCAAATTGTGCACGTGACCAGGGATTCCTGTCTCTGTGCGCTGCCTCTTGCTCGAGTCTGTCAATTGCACATGTGACATGCCAGGTTGGGGAGGCCAAATCTGGAATGCTAATCGACTCATACAGTGTCTTGCCATCACCAAAGGCTTCATGACGCGACAGCCTTCAACGCGTCCACCTCTCTGCCCGTCCTGGTTCCCCACCCTTCCATACTGATAGCAGCGCCCCTTCACCCTGCCATTGTGCCCTCTCCCCGTTGCGCGGGACAGAATACTGAGGGCACGCCTGGAGTATCTGCGGGAGACGTTTCAGATCCAGGAGAACGACTTCCTCACCTTCGACGCCATCGTGAGCCCCTCCCCACCCCGCCCCACCTCGCCTTGCTCCCACCCCGCCTTGCACCACTCACCACCCCTGGTGCCATTCCATGCTCACGCTCCCTCATCCCTCCCCTTCCCTTCCACTTTCAACTGCTCTCTGCACTCTTTCCTCTCTCCTCCCCTCCCCCCCTGGAACTCCATTTCTCTAATCACCTATCGCTCCTCATTCTCTACCTCATCGCGTCCCTCATGCCTCCATGCCTCTCTGCCTGCTGCATGCCACCAGAAACGACTGGCGCTGTTTGTAGGCTGCAACGTGTGAGGCCAAGGAGGACAATCATCCAGCCAAAATCACATCTGTCGCCAATTCTCACACATCACTCCCACATCTCTCCCACATCTCTCCCACATCTCTCACACATCACTCCCACATCTCTCCCACATCTCTCCCACATCTCTCCCGCATCTCTCCCACATCTCTCACACATCTCTCCCACATCTCTCCCACATCTCTCCCACATCTCTCACACATCTCTCCCACATCTCTCACACATAACTCCCACATCTCTCCCACATCTCTCCCACATCTCTCCCACATCTCTCACACATCTCTCACACATAACTCCCACATCTCTCCCACATCTCTCCCACATCTCTCCCACATCTCTCCCACATCTCTCCCGCATCTGTTCCCCATCTGCCCCATCGCTCAGAGGCAAGCAGCGCAGTGTGTGGGGAGGGTCATTCGGTCCAAGTCCGACTATGGCATCATGATATTCGCCGACAAACGGTGAGAGCTACCTCTATGGCATCCTTATATATTCGCTATAAGTGGGGAGGTTTGGCAGTATTTCATCATGAAATTCGCCAAGCTGTGAGCGTTGGCAGTTTACATCAGTATCTTTTTCTCTTCCTTCAATGTCTCCCTCCGTTCACTATTTTGTCCAACCTTACTCATTCTGGCCCATCTGTCCTCCTCCCTCTTTCCTCCCCGCCTTTTCCACCCCTTCCTCCCTTCCCACCACTGCCCTCACCTTCCCTCTTCCCTCACCTCCCCTCACCTCCCCTCCCCTCCCCTCCCCTCCCCTCCCCTCCCCTCCCCTCCCCTCTCCTCACCTCCCCTCCCCTCCCGTCCTCTCTCCTCCTCCCCTCCCCTTCCCCCCCGTCCCCTCCCCTCCCCTGACCTCTAACCCTTCCCCCGCCAGGTACAACCGGCATGACAAGCGCAGCAAGCTGCCGGGGTGGATCGTGTCGCAGCTGCCCGACGCACACCTCAACCTCTCCACCGACATGGCCGTGCACATCGCCAGGGAGGTGAGGCGTGCACATCGCCAGGGAGGTGAGGCGTGCACATCGCCAGGGAGGTGAGGCACCTCAACCTCTCCACCGACATGGTGATGTTGGGTGAGGCGGCGCGGCGGGGGCGGATGATGGGCAGCACCTGCAGCAGCGCCCCCGCCGCTTCCCAGCGTCGCCAGCAGTGGCAACAACATCTGCGGGGCATGCCGTCGCCCCTGCCTGCCACCGCCCTTCCTCTGCTGCCGTCTGCCCTTGCCGCGGTTTCTGCTGTAAGGGTGGATGGAGGTGCTGTAAGGGTGGATGGAGGTGCTGTAAGGGTGGATGGAGGTGCTGAAAGGGTGGATGGAGGTGCTGTAAGGATGGATGGAGGTGCTGGCCCGTGCGTCTACTGCCGGTGCCCTTCGTTGCCCCAGCCGGGGCGGATGCTGTGGGGGGGAAGGAGGCGGGACTGGCAGCCATGGTTGAGGGGATGCTCACGCCTCCTTGGTGTGTTTGTGTGCTTGTATGCAGTGGATGTGCTTGTATGCAGTGGATGTGCTTCTGTGCAGTGGATGTTGTTGCGTACTATCGCTCCCTTCAACACTCACTTGCAATGTCTTCACACACCCCCACCTCGGCCCTTTTCCCCCGCGCATGCAACGGTTGCTCTCTGGCAGTTCTTCTTTCAAATGGTGTTATGTCAACAGAACCGAATTGTCAGGGTCATATCTCTTTTTCTTTCAAGTGGAGCTCAATTAGCAGAGTTGACTAACAACCACCCACACCTTAACCCCCTCTTTCTCCCCTACCCACCCTTCCTCTTCCACCCCCCTCCTCCCCTCTCTCCCCCACTTCGATCCCCCTAGTTTCTGCGGCGCATGGCACAGCCGTTTGACCAGGCAGCATCGATGGGCGGTGCAACTGCCACTCTCCTCAGTGAAGCTGACGTGGCAGCCATGGCCATTGGCATGGGCACAGCAGGATAGATAACAATCCCTAGTGTTTCTGACATCTCAGCAGCGCTGAGCAGTGCAAGAGCTGGTTGTAATGGTATTGTTTGCTAGAAAGGCATAGTGCCAGCGTAGCGGAAACGTGTTTGTATAAAAAAACAAGATAGAAATCTTGCATTGATCATTGAAAAGTAGAATGATGATGTTGGGCTGAGAAAACCCCTTAGGATCTTCAAGGATAAACTTTGAGCAGAAGTGTTGTATTTGCGGAAGCGTTTCAATGATGAACTATTGTACCACCTTGCGCTAGTTTGTTAAGGCAAGATAGATTGATTATAGAAAAAGTAATACAAGCTTTTATAAGATTACAAGGAATATGAAAGGGTGCAAATAATAACTGTTTTACTGTTGCTGTTGCGATTCGATACAGTGACTGTCAGAATGTTGTTGTTCTCTAGCCTGCAGTGGGGTACTCTATAGCGAGTACAACCCCTTAGGGTTTCCTATATGCATCCTGCTGCTTTCTAGTGAACCCCTCCTTTGCTTAAACTGTCTCTTACCTAGCTAGGGCTTACCTAGCTATGGCTCCTGAACTTAACTACTATACTACTCACTATCTTCACATGGTATCAGAGGGCGGCATGTCTGCCGCCGCCCTGTGTATGGGCTCACCACCTGCTTCCGCTTCCGCTCTGTCCGCCGCGCGCCCCGTGGTGCGCGGCGTCGACATTAGGGTTTTCAGCCCGCCGTGCACCCCGAGGCGCGCGGCGGTTTTCTGCCCGCCGTGCGCCCCGAGGCTCGCGGCGGCTTTCTGCCCCGTCAATCCGCGCGTCGCCCCCGGGAGGCGCTGCGACGGGCGACGGGGACCTGGGCGTCGCCCCCCGTCGCCCGTCGTGGCCCGCGCGACCTGCGTAGGGCCCGCGCGCGG